TTATTTTCAGTAAAGAAAATTGTTAAATATTGTTTTGTATTACGATACATTTTTGTATTTCTCGTAAAAAATGAAACTATAGAATGTTATTTCAGTATGTAATAACTAAAACATTAGTACCAAAAATACTATGAAATATTAAAAAAATATTGTAGTAAACTAGTCGTGTACCGTTTGAAAATATAATTAAAATATACTTTCGAGATTTTTCTCTAATAATTAAATCCGACAAACTGTAGAATTCTATGTTTAACGTCGGCAAAGTAATGGGCGAAGTTTCATTGCGAGCTTTTATCTAATTTATTTTTATTGTTATATGAGTCGGTTTATGAGGAATTTTACACCCTTTGCAGTAGGTTAGAATCAAGGGCTGAACACGGCATGTATTGTATTTTTGTTATACGTCTTAAGACGGGTTTTCACTGTGCTTTATGATGTCAAACGCAAACGTCTGTGTCAACGATGGCTGTACTTTGTATATTTGTTAGACCCGCCCGATTTATTAATTTACTGCCCCACTTAGAGGTAGTAACTGACTGAAGGAGATACTTAGTGTCTATTAGTTGGCTGATAACGTCTCTCCGCGCTTATGCATAGTGGAAACGCATCTTTACATCGCGTCGTATCAGTGTGCGGGGCATGTGATTGCTCCGCACTCCATCACGTATTCCTGACAGCATTCTTGCTTCACATTGAAATACAGTTCATATTATTTCACTCGGATGTATTATGAAAACGTTTATTTCTTCTTTTTGGGATGTTTAATTTGAATTTTAGCTTGTGAAACGTTTTATCGAGATTGATATTGTTTTATTTCTTTCTGAGGTACATGTATAATGTCTCTGTTTTAAAAAATCTAAACATTAAAAATAAGATTTAAATATGATAAGTTTTGCTTATAGCTTGTGGCTAATAATAAGTTTAAATAAGTTATTAACTTAAAGTTTACAAGTGATGCTCAACGTCCGCACGTGCTAGTTAAGTTAAGCTTACTCGATGACCTATATCAATGTAGGTCTTTCTGGTGCTTATAATTTCATAGTTAGATTTAGAATTTTTAAACCTTATTCTAGTGTTTGAGTGATAATGTTAAATTATGTCAAAAATATTAATTAAGATAAATTCAATTTATATCCATTTTGCTGTTTAATTATTATATTATAGTTAAGTGTGTGATATTTCGTTGTTTATCGTATTTCAAATTGTAATTTGGCACTTTTATGTTAGTTTTTCCAAGGCCTCAAGTCTAGTCCTTACTTAGAGATTACATTGAATGTGATAAGAATTTTTAATTATAAAAGATTCCGTTTATTATTCTTAGGTACACAGTTAAAAGATTCAAGACATAAAACTTAGTTAACTTCAATTGTTTTTCAAGAAATTTAATTTTTAAAATTGAAAATTCCAAGGCTTTCTTCGCTCGCTTTCCGTTCGAGGAAAACTATATTGCGTTTTTTTATTAAAAAATACGAAGTGTTCCAACGAGGGGTAAACGGCCACTAAAACGTTATGGTTACTGCGGTGACATTCGCACGGATACCTAACTTATAAAATTGGTAATACCCCACGCAATAGCCACCCTCCGCGGATAAACGATAAATTATCCGTCTATTACTATTATGAAGTGATATTGCGTTTACGAACAAATTGTTATGTCACGTATCATAAACCTTTTTTGATACTGTGCTTAATTCGTTGACCTATTGCAATTTAAAAAAAATGACTTAATTTTAAAAAATCAAGTTATTAAACAAACAATTAAAAGGTATCCTTAAATATGGACACTAATTTATTACTAAAGTAATGTTTAATAATTTTTACTCTATGTGTCCATCTGTTATCAATCAATCTAGCTCTGCCTACCTCCATTTCATTCTAAGGCAGAAATAACGTGCATCGATTACTTTTGTGTTTTTTCTACACATTATGTCTTTCAATTTTAAACCCAAATAGCTTCTCTATTACTTGAGTAATTTTCACATTATATTAATTAATAAAATTTAAGAAGATAAAATTGGTGGCCATTTAGAAAACGTTCTCCATTCAGCTTGAATAATTGCATCGGAATATTGATAACGGCATTAGTTAATTGGCGAATTTAAATTTGTTACGGTCAGGTACGGAGAATACTTTAATTAAGCTTCAGCGGTCTAATGGATACGTATTAACCATTCAATATTTAAGTCCATGTATTTTTCTTACATCATTAAAATATATAAAAGTTTCAATTACGTTATTACTCCAAGGATTTCTTTATTATATTCTAAAAAGAACTATCCAATAGCTTGAAGAGGAGGGGGATTAATTTCAAAAAGTTTAGCGTACCATTAATAAAATAGAAATACCTAAGCAGTAGAGAAAATTATTAGGAAGCTAGACCTCAACAAGACGTAAGTTTCTTGTCCATTGTATATAATAAAATTGATGTAATTATAGTTTTCTATAACTTTAAAGTTGTTTAATATCAATTGTTTTGTAAAGTCTAAAAGACTTTTCAAGATAATTATTACTTCAATTGTATAGTATGCAACAGGCAAGAAACTTGCATTGTGTAAATACGTCTTTATTCTAGACATAAATATAAAAAGAGGAAAATTAAACGTTACTTCGAAACATTAAATGATTTCATCGAAAATAATTAACTATCCAATCTACAACCGCGTAATGCGCGTACAAACATTAGTACGACCAATAGCAAAGCTGGTGGAACGCGAAATTTCCATTTGGTATGTGGCAGTTTACCGAGCGAAATTATTAGTCGATTGTTTGGTTGGCGCGCTATTGTTTCAACAACATTGTTATGTGTATTGACAAGATAACGAGTTTCCTATACAATTTGTAATATTCGACGGCTGACAATCGGCAGAGTTCACAATGAGATCTTACCTAGATAACAAATGCGCTTTTCAGAGAGATATACAAAACTAGAAATGGTATTTGTAATATTTTAAAGTAACTTATTGGTTGTATTTTAATGATTGATCTATTATAGTAAAATGTTTGATGTTTGATTCATAAATTAGTTATTAATTTAATAATTAACATAGACGTACATATCAATAGACAACGTTTTAAATAAAGGAAAAAACTCACTCTTATACCAACACTTATTCTTTACTATCTGTGTCGCATATCACTTAAGATCATAACTTGAACTTTGCCATTACACTTTTCGTTTCAAACTTGCAACTTTATCTTAAAAATAAGGCAAACCAAAATTCATAAAAATTCAGTGGAGACGCTCGTCCTTTTTCAGTGGCAACTCTGGCACCGGAATGATGCGAGAGACTCCCGCGGAAACTTGTTTAAGGAAGTCGATTTAAGTTTCTAAGAGGAGGCCACTTTCTATAATATCAAAATAGGATTTTTTTATGAATAGAAATATTTTACACTTCATGAGGTTAAAGGTTTCTATCGTGGGTTTTTTAACTGTATAACTCAAATCTTATGTCTTTCTTTGTGAGTGGTTGCCTTAAGTAAAAAAATTAAACAACCTATGTTTCTTTGTAAAAAAAGAAATGGAAGAGTTTTATAAAGCCGGAGCTGAATGCGTTCGTTATTTTCACACTTATGTTAAAGTATTCGCGAATAAGAATCTTGCTATGAGCATAAAATCCACAAATTATTCGATTCATTTCAAAAGGAATTCCACTAAAAGAAACGAGAGAGTAACTCAAAGCTTTTATATCTCGTAGCGGGACGCCTTATTGTCTTCAGCGATATATGTATTAAAGCTTGCTTTCTCTTGCGTAAATAAAATTCATTGGAAAGAGAAGAAAATGCTTCAAATCACGTGCAAGAGGGGGTGCGAGGGGAGGGAATAGGTGTAATGCTTCATGTGAGTGTCGGGGACGGGATATAATGCAAAGTAGATTGAATTGGAAAAGTCTCTCCAATAAAATGGCGTCTTTTGGCACCCAAGGGAGTAGGGTAGCTCACAGCTAGCTATAAAGGGTTAACAATAAGAACAGCGTCAATAGATGTTGCTACGATATTATGTAGCTGTTGCTACGAAATGATACTGTTGCTACGTTCCGTAGCACTTACTACTATGCTACATGTGTCTACGAGCATTTTCAATTTAATTCATTTGTGCGAGTAATCATTTAATTAATGTATTTAATTCAAAGCTTGTCTTATTGTAGTTTTTTTTAAGTTTCAAATTGATTTTGATTTTGCATTAAAACTACAAAGTTGAAAACTTCGTTCAGAATTTAAATTCAAATTGGTTGTGATTGGCCATCGCCAAAGCCTGTTGCAAAAACATTACCTTTCCGGTAGTTTTCCAACCACTAGTGGAAAAACAACAACGGGTTTTTATTTTTACAACGATGGCGAATTTTTTTGCTTTAACCTTTACTAAATAGGTCGAACTGTATTTTGAAAACGACAAACTTTTATTACTTTAGGAAATGTAAGTTTGCTCAATAATATTGTTTTAAATACATCTACTCCATAATGTATTGAATCAGACTTATACTAGATATGTACATACAAACACACTAAATGTTAATTATAAATGCAAACACGGAGGTGCACATTCGTTGCCTGAACTAATCCGATTGGTTCACGTTTGTGTGCACAACTCTCGAACTATTGACTCAAAGATATGGAAATCAAATTTAATATGTGTTCAAATGCACAAATGTTAAGAACAATGAAGACCACAATTTGTATCAATTAGTTGCTTGGATCAGTGTACTAAGACCATCATTATGCCAGCAACATAGAATTCGTAGCTTAGCTAGAGTTTCTTTTAGACGCTGAAAAAAGATATTCTTGTCTAATGCTCTAATCCTAAACCGTAACATCAAAATACCACTATTTGAATAGTTCACAATTTTAGGTTATTTCCTAAGATTTATGTATCTCAAAACTATAGACAATGTAAATTTAAAATTAGGATAAGTTTTAAAAAGCACCGAGCATCAATTACTTACTTACGAGAACATTTACATTTCTGGAAGTTTACAAAATTAAATAATCAAACAATTAATTACCTTTTTTCTCTCTACCACCTTCTTGTCTGAACACAATGGGTCGGTTATGCTCTCTCCTCCACAAGACAGTCGGCGGGGGCACGCCAGTTGCTGAACATGTGAGTCTTACACTGCCGCCTTCACGCGCTGAACTTCCCTCCGTCACCGTGTCCACAATATCCGGCGGTATCACTACGGATAAGTGACCCATCTGTAACAATAATAAGACATTACATGGGATACCTGATTTAAGGTAGGTTCCCTTGGAAGGAACGTATAGTGAGTGAGATGGTAATAATGATGATGATTATGATGATAATGATATCGGATAGTAAAAATAAACAGTTGTTGAAACAAGCAAATTTGTCTACTTCACCGAATATCCTAAGTCGTATTTGTAGAGTACGTAAGAGAGTTAAATTTCGATATAAATCTTACTAATCTTACTAATATTATAAATGCGAAAGTTTAGATGGATGGATGGATAGATGGATGTTTGTTAGCGTTTGTAGCCTAACTGAACTAGGCTGAACGGATCTCCATGAAATTTGGCACAGGTTTAGAGCATTGTCTGGAAGAACACATAGGATTCTTTTTATCCCGGGAATAGTTACGGTTCCTGTGGGATTCATTAATCTAGTTTTTTAATGTTTACTCGATCATTCTGCAACGGTTCAACATATCCTTTTGAAATTTGGCACAGATATAAAACAAAGTCTGGAGTACACAAGGCATGAGGTTCATCCCCGAGAAATGTCCGGTTCCCGAGGGATACGTAGTTTTTTGTTATTTATATAGTTCGTATGTTTTCTAATACCACGCGGACGAAGTCGCGGGCAACAGCTCGTTTATCATAAACTCAATGAAAGTACGTATGTATGTATACTTGTATCTTTATTCTTCTGTTTTAATGTATCTTTCTTTTGTTTTTCTAACCTCTTCTATGACCAGCATAAAAGCAAAAAACACCTGTATTCATCTGCTTCATTAAAATGTTTATGAAGGACGGAGTTGTATTAAGGTAATCTACATTAATATTACTTTACCTGACTTTTCATAGGGTCGGTGTTGACTTGGCACATGTAAGTTCCCGAGTCGTTCGCCTGCACGTTGCTGACGTGCAACTTCCAGGTATTATGGTTGTTGTAGGTGACGGAGAGGCGCGGGTTCAATGCCACCATATTCGTGTGTATCGCCAGGATCGCTTTCGAATCAGATTTTATCCACGCTACCTACGAACACAAAATATTGTTACAAACACAAAAAACAGTTTTGAAAAATAATCCGTTTAAGTTTTACTGAAATTTCGTTTATTGATTTAAAACACACATTTCAATGGACAAATGTCAAGTCAGTAAATACTAATCTAAATTAATTTCATTTTATATTGTGCAATACAAAAGGTTAACATATTCCATCGTTATTCTTCAGGCGATGTATTAAATAGTATGTGGGCAAATTTGAATGCATAAAGTTAGTTCACGTAGCCCGTTCTTTCAGTAAGTACGTGCAGAAGCGTACTATTTTACCTCTCAAACACTCGTTAAGAAGTTTTACCGTTTGCTAACCGTTGTAAACGATATGTCTCGTGAACATTTCAAACTTTTTATATCTTTATTTTAAAAATGGATAAACACTTTTGTAGTTACGACAATATTTGTATGACATTTAGTTTGTTAATACCTAGTTTTTGTAAGCATTCTATAAGTTAGTAATTTAATCTTAACCTAACAAGTTGTTTAATTTCTCTTTCAAGTTAACCGTAAATATGCTTTATGCTGTTCCTATAAGGCGAACATGCAATTTACTCTGAAACTTCGATTTCGACCTACGTTAGTGCTTTGAAACTATCGTTGAAGTATAGTCGAGCATTACCATATATAACATGTGAGTTTTACATACTCTTATTTATTTCCGTCTTTGTCTAAGTGATACATATTTACGATACTCGTATGTTCTAAGAGTCGGTACTTTTATTTTGGTTATAATACTTTGATAATTAAGCGAACGTCTGTTTATTTAAAAACAGTAAAAGTAAAGTTACTAAAATGTAAATATCATGAAGGTGGGTCGTCCATGAAGAATGATGTAAATATCATGAACAATGGGTTAACTGGCAACTTAGAACGCCCGGCGTGAAGTCACTGGATGCGGAAGACAGAGGAGTGCATTCTGTGGAAGGCATTGGCAGAGGCCTACGTCCAACAGTGGACAGACAATGTCTAATGTATCAATAGTTTGATGTCATTATTTGTTATATTATGTTTTCTAAAATGTAGTTATTATTTGATCGTATCTAACAACTTTGATCTTTAATTGTTAACCTTCACTATAAATATTTAAAGGAACACTCAGTCTAAGCTGCCAGGACTATTTGTAGAGAACAATGTATTTCCTTTTAACTATTCTAATTAAACTCTAATGAACAAAGGATTCAGAGGAAAAGAAATTATTTCCATGTCAATTGTCTCGACTATTTTCGTAGAACTTTTTCTCAGCGAATAAATTATATTTTTTTTAAATTAGCTATTTCTTTTTTTTTTACCTTTTTCGATAGTGAACCAGTGCGTAAAATATGCATATGTATTTATTTAAACTTGAATTTCGACTGTCTTAACACTAGTGAACTTATCGCCTGTTATTTTTTAATACAATAAGAGGAATGACAACTTTGTTATAATACATGTGTTGCGACAGTGGAGACACACTCTAAGAGTACGTTGTCAGGTCATTTGTCGCAAGTGAGCACCCCTGGAGCAGTGAAACTGAATGCGACTTGAGCGTTGTAATTGTGGCGAACGTAGTTAAAAGTGGGCGGGATACGACACGTGAAATTGTAGAGTTGCCACGAAGGAATGTGCGAAGTCTCATCCCGGCCGCTTTCGTGCAATTTTTCACGTGACATCTCGCTTTGTTGCGGTTGGAAAATAAATTACTTACAATTTCATTGTTTGCGAGAATTATTTCCGACGAGCGACTGCACGTGAGCTAACATTCTTTAGGCACTACTATGTTGAAGCGATGCAAGCTATTATTAACGTGTTGTGTTCAGATTACGTTCGCTGTGTTATTTTTTGTTTTCACTTGTTACAGCTTTGTTTTGAAACTACGCTGCTCGGGTTTTTGATGCAACTCTGCGAATTGTTAAATGAAATAAACTTAATAATCTGATACTTTACGAGGCGGAATTGAAAGATTTTACATCACAGTTATGACAATTTCATTGAAAACGAATACAAGTAAAAGCGATAATTGGCAATAACAGGAACTATAATTTTAACACAGCTGTTAAAATTAGGTGTGAGATAAAGCAGTTCTTAACCGTTAGGTTTAAAACCGTAACGAATACAATATTAGCTACGGACAATGTTGCAGTTTAAGTCCAGCGTCGGATCTCTAATCCATCTGTGAAGCGAAGCTGCGGTAAATCTTGGAGAAGCTGTATTTGTAGGTAGGATTATGAACATCGTATTTTAGCGGATAAAAATTGCATTCCGAGTATTTTAACGATGATATTATTTCTACAAAGAAATATATTAATGCTGTTAATTTTATCTTAATAATATATTTGTGTATAGTGGTGTGTTTGTTTCCATAATAATAGCAACATAGTTGATAAGGGAAAAATATTCCTTGTGCCTAAAAACTTTTTATTGATCTTTTCAAAATCAGTTGGATATTCAACTAAATTTTCGTTAGTAAAATTTCTTGAACAATTTTAATAATACATTTTTTTCTTTACTTAAAAAGTTATTAACGATAGATGAAGTATCGGTATAAATAACAGTGTTTAAAATCAAATTTAATAGATATATCGCTTGATTACAACGTAACCTAATTAAAACGCAAACACAGTAATATTTCATAGAAAGTAAATGATAGTTGTTGAAAATTTAATGACATATATTTTTTTTTTTGTTTTATTCGTATTGTCTAGTCGTCATTGTGGTAGTAAATTGATTACGACCTTGAAATAGTGTAGTAGTACAGAAGCAAATAAATTTTCTAATGTATTGTTACTAGTTTTCGCCTGCGACACCGTCCGTGTGGAATTAAAAAAAAAAGCGAGTAGCGTATGTGTTCTTCCAGACTACCATTCCAAATTTCGTCGAAATCCGTTCAGCAGTTTAGGCTACAAACTCTAACAAACATCCATCCATCTAAGCTTTCGCATTTACAATTTTAGTATGATTTTTACGAATGAAGCGTTTAAATAAATAACTAAATAGAATTTTTATTGGCACAAAAAACTATGTAAGACATCAATACACAAAACCTTAGAGCTAGTAAGAAAAAAAAGAAATGTGGCAAAAGGTGGCAAGCTTAGCTAATGCAGGGACGGCGCAGGCCCTTACTGCATTGGTTTTCAGGGCTAGCCCTTTACACATATGTAGGTAGGGTGACTTAAACTAGCCAGTCATTAAAAATAATAAAATAGTTTATTAGGACACACACAGACATCTGAAAATGTTACTGGTAAAAGATGATGGTATAACATTTTTAGTCTTTTGTTTTTGTGCTTCATTTGTTTTTATCTACGACAATGTTAAAGTACTCGTATAAGCCAAACAAATAGAGAAATATTAAATATAAAGAGAAAATTTCTATCAAGATATCTGGTGAATTTCACAAGATTATCTAGCAATTCTGCAAAAATAAATTATCTCTTTTGCTGCAATTTCAGAAATGAAAGATGCGGCTATTTCTGCTTCGCTCGTTGTCAACATTTTCAACCGCGGGAAATTATTAGCGCAGTTTGTACTTCGTGTACGAATTACATGATTTAATTATATAATTCTTGGAATTGTTGAGAGTATTGCTTTAAAATCTGTAGAAGATTCTAAAATGATAACCGAGTTAATTGCCATAGAAATACCATTTCATAAATTATAACAACTAGACAAGCAAGCCTTACTTAAATCTTATCTTACTATCATTAAAAATGTGAACGTTTATATGTATGGATGTTTGTTAGGCTAAGTTCCCTAAATGAATAAACGGATTTGGATGACATTTGGCATAGAGCACAGTCTGGAAAACCACATAGGCAACTTATTTTTTTTTAATTTCACGCTTTTTAATTCGACGAAGTTGCGAGCGCAAGCTAGTTCAAAATAACTTTCACTTCATCGTGTTTAATTAATTGTTACTGTTGTATAGGTTACACTGTATTTTCGACTAGCTGTTCCTGTGCGGCTTCATCCGCATGAAATTATGAAATTTTTATTTTCTTGTTTATGTTTGTCAAATTATCAATTGCTATGTCAAAATGACATGACAAACCTTAGCAATCTTTCTTTCTTGATGTTGGCAGCAACTTATAGTCTCTTTCCCTCATTAGGGTTTTTAACCAAAATATATTTACCCCCTAAGTTTAATGGCGTGAAAATATGTAGCCTAAATCATGGCGTAAATGTGGGGCTTTTTATTAAAAAAAAAATTATTCAAAAATATGCTGTATTTGCAAACATCTTAGGCAACAAAGAAGTGTTTGTTTACGCTTTATTATATTAGTATAGATTTCAAATTACTTTATTATTCTGTATTTTACAAAATTAGGACATAAATTAATAAATAACGAAGTAAGCAACGAGAATTATTGTCTAGATTCGAAGCGAAATTGTTTCATATTATACTAATTATTTAGAACGCGTTTTATAAAAGAAGATTAGGGGGAATTTATTACTTCGTTCAAGGGGGTTCCGTGATGAATTAGCGACGTTAGTTATCAGAATTTTTAGTCCATCATTCTTTTAGGCTTGAGTTATACTTCGGCCGCGCGGCCCGGGGGCGCTCGTTAAAATTGTACGTGTTCCCGCGGCACAATTCCTACCGCTCAGATAGCTCGGCCGTGCGTACTTACTATGTAACTAATATTCAAACTTGCTCTCATTTCCATGCTTGCTAGTAAAAAATAATTCCGTAAGTTTCCGTATGCACCTCGGGGTAGAGTTAAGTTGCATTTTTAAAATTTATTTTCAACAAAATTACAAACTTCTAAGCTAAATGAACTTCACAGTGACTTCTTAATGTTGTATTAATTAAAATGGTTATGCTTAGTTTTATCTGTTAGTTGATTTTGATTACAAAAGATTATAAGTTACAGTACAGTATAGAATAAAAAAATACTTTTTATATACATTCATGTTACAATATTTTCAAACTGGCATCAGTGGTCAAAATCATCTAAGATTTCATGTTTTTAGTGTATTGAAGTTCTCAGAAAACACAGGATTTTAACCATGATAATACCATTTTAGGTTGACTAAAACATTTGTTTGGTACTTCCCTAATAGTACAAATTCAATTTAAAGTTATCCGCGATATCAATGACTTTTGCGGGGAAATTGAAAGCATAAATGCTACCACGCTACTTCTAATTACGCAATAAGCTAAATGTTCGGCCCAAACGCAGCGCAGTTTCGTACAATCTGACTAATTAACTTGTACTTCCTACGCTTTGAATAACATTCCCTTGTAATTATAAACAAACGATATCCTTTAATGTACGTCTCTTGCGCCTCTGTTTTAATTTAAGTACACGATTCGCTTTCGATTACGTTTGTTTATGATCACACTACGTTTATATTGTTATAGACATTTGTAAGGGATAAGTGTGGATAAGAATAAGTCTTGAGAGTCAATTCAATTTAGTATAAAATACGTATGTATATCTGAGAAAGTAAATATTCAATATCC